AAACAGATGTAGTAGAAGAGTTTGCAGCAATCGTTGAGTAGTATTGCTTCTGTTGTTGGTGTGATAAGCCAAGATATGTATGGTGACTTGTAGGTTTGAGGAGGAGATTTCTAAGTTTGCTCTTGAGTTTGATAGCAAACTGAGTGCAACGAATGTCAGTATGACATGGGCTTAATCGATGGAAATGTCTCTCACCCAGGAATAAAGGTCAGATGAGTTCTGGCAACCTTCTGGTAACCTGGTACCTAAAGGCCAAAGGTTATAGTGTGGAATAGGACATCAACAATATGGGAATGGAGTTATGGAGTTATGGCGTCTTGATCAATGAAGTCGCACCTCGTTTTTAACATAAGTAACGGCTAATGAAACATGTGATATAACTGAGTTGCCAAGACCCATACTAGGTACTCAGCAAGTGAGTAATCCTCATTCAACAATACTCGGGACATGAGTGAGTAACTCAGCTGGGTGAGTAAAAATTCAACTGCTTGACTCGTGAGTACCCAGTGCACAGCCTACCTGTCATAATGACGATACTGTACAGCTATTTCCATACTCTCTCATAGAGCACTTAGTTTATTAGCTCAGTTTTGAAGGATATTTGGTGCCATGGATATTACTTGAGAGGCCTATCATAGTGTTGAATACTGTTATGGTGGAGGTATTGTACTGGGCAACTAGTCCTGGACTGGTCTGGCAAGCATCATATGTGTCACAGGTGGGGGCGACCATGGGTCCATGTCAGGGACACCGTGCCTAAGGACCCACTATGGCACCCTAGGTGGCCTGAGGTCACAAGGCTGCCTGAGAACGCTACTGGGGCCTGATGGCCTAAGGCATCCATTAGGCCCTAATAGCTGTTGGGGTGCAATGCCCGGCCCCGGCTTGTTACGAGACGGCGGGGGTTCAACCCCAAGCACCACCGTAGGGGCCCAACTATGGAGGAATAGAAAAAGGTAGCTAACCCCCTAGTAGAAGGGGCTTAGAGATTGGTTTGTTGAATACTACACTGACTCCCACCTACGGTTCTAGCACGTTGCCTACCTAAACCCTTACAATATGGCCCACAAATCACCCATGTAAAATTATAAAGTGACCATTGTCAAAAGATAGGGTCGTCTCGGGCTGGGTATAAAGCTGGGAAGACGCCACACGAAATGGAGGCTGTTGGACGTGCCCAACTTGAGACTGCATGGGCTAATATTACTTAGTTGAGTATTAAGCTGTGAAGTAGGGGAGTTGATCGCGGTATGTAGGGCGTTGTTGTTGGTCAAGTTGGACAAAGATCGGATCTGAGAAATTGCTAGGCTATTTGAGTTGTGAGGAACTATGCTGCATGCACCATATAGATATTGGGAGATTGAAATCTGGGATTCCTGTATTTGCGAGCCTTCTTGATTGTGTTCTTCCTGATTATATGTCTGCGACATATCTCTAGTTAAGCCTCTAGTGGCGCATCACGGGCGGCATGATGTCATTTTTAGCATGGTATTAATCTATTCACAAAGACTTGATCAAAAATATCAAACTAGGTTGGTGTTTTAGGTCTTTCAAACTCATAGGGTTCCTCTTAAACCATTGTACCGCTCTTGTGGGTTTAATAGGAATAACCCAGCTCTACACTATGCTGATTCAATATTGTGGTGATTGTAGACATCTGACTAAGCTTGTATATATGCCTCCATCCATTCAATCTTCTGTATTCGTACAAGCTGAGCTTAGTTAAGATGGGAGAGTGTAGTGGTTAATTGCTTCTTTAATGAGCTGAAAATTGCAACATCAAGCGGTTGAAGTAAGTGTGATGTATAAGGTGGGAGGATAAGGAGCATAATTCGATTTTGAAGACAGTAAGCTATAAAGCTTCCACTAATGTAAGAGTCATGACTATTACAAATAAGAAGGCAATATTAACCATTTGCTTTTATACAAGTTAAAGGCTCAAAAACACGTTTTAACTACTCTAAGCCATGAAGATTACTTGTCTAACACTTTGTATTTGTTAAGAAGAACCATTGCTTAAGGACTTGGTTTAGAATCCAATTTTGAATGACGTTCTTGCCTTTAAAAATCCTAAGTGGTAGAAGAATAGTTCCATCTATGCAAATACACTCAACTATAGAAATCTACTCTTAATGGCTAGGATGTGCTTGATGCTCTGTACAAAGTGTAGAATCAAGGATAATTCAAGTTGATTAAATTGTTATAATTAAGAATCCAGATTCATCTATGTTATATGTGTTCTCTTACATGATTTTACACTCTTGAACCACTTTCTTATATGCATCAAACCACATGTTAAGCACTTCTTTTGTTGCCCTGTCTATTCGTACAGACTTAATACGACACCTAATAGCAACTGTAAGATGTGGATGTTGTAGAATAAATTGTATAATCTAGTCTCGACCTAGTGCATACTGTGGTGGGAGTTTAGGGGAGCTAAGCGACACATTGTCTAAATTGTAGGTCCATTTCATACGAAGTTCCTTAGCTATTTCCTTTAACAACCGATGCCCTAGTAAATAGCCACTAATTGTTAACTGTTTAATCCACTTAAGAAGTACATTCTCTTGTTTATACGAAAGTTTCTGCTGTTGTTAGCAGGCTTAAGAATGTGACAAGCCTCTGTTAATGCAATGTGTTATAGTACTAACACTAAGCCCTGATTAAACTCCTAGTACAGCTTAATCAACTAAAGTATTAGATTCAGCTGCAGTTAAGCTTTTCTAGTGTACCATTATTAAGTGTTGTGTATTTTAAATAGGTGGTGTAGGATAATTGTGTTCATTACAGCAATTTAGCAACTGAATTACTATTGCACTTTTAGCGTGTGACAGTAACTAGGTCCCCTACCCCTCTATTCCCAAATTAGTGCTAGGCTCTCTAGGCCAAGAAATTGCCATATATGGCAATATCTAGTCGAAGGTGCCTATACCCTGCCAACACCACTATGCCTGTCCATCAACCCTAACGACCAGCAGGGCTAACGAATGGCAGATTTACCACCTGCTGCCCTTAATGAGGCACTTAGAAGCCCTCATCGCAAGGCACTTAGAAGCCTAAGTCTACTATAAGGCGCTTGGCAATCTGCTTCTAAAATGCTCGGTTAGACTAGTGGCTGTATACAGCCTACTGCTCAATGTAGAGCTGCATAACAAAGAGCATGTCCTTAGCGGTCATACGGTTTTGACCGCTATAGGCGATGCTAGGGGCAGCACTACGGAGGTAATGTTCATAAGTTTTGTATGTGGATCCTGAAAAAATTGGGGACTGTACAGGGGAAAGAGCATGGGTACGTGTATGCTTGCAAGTATCTTTTAAAAGTGTAAAATGTTTTACTATAATAATTTGTATGTAGGAAATATATACTCCTTCAACAACTACAATGCCTCACCTTACTCGCGATGAGCGGCTTCGGTGTGCAGTCCTTCGCTCCCTCAATTAGGAGTTTCGGAATATATGTCCTATGACCAGCTCCATGTAGCAGTTGCAGAAGCATGGGAGAAAGTTGGGCAAGAAGAGCTGGACGCTCTCCTTGACAGTATGCCTGTACGCATGGCAGCTGTAATTGCTGCTAATGGTATGCACACAGAGTACTAGGCTTATAGTATAGTTTTATATAGTTAATTAGGTACCTACTCTACTCTTTATTTTACAGAATTCAATCCTCTCGTTCCTAACGTGTAACGCGTGGGAATAAATCAGTACTTCAGCCTAAATTGCCAAGCCAGCCTACACAGGGGCCCCTGCCCGGATCCACATACAAAACTTATGAACATTACCTCTGTAGTAGCGCCATTGGTGTCATTGTCATCCTCCTAGATTACGGGCTGGCTAGGCCCTATAGGGGAGAGGGGGAAATCTACAGATGGGATGGGCGAGTAGTTAGGGGGTGTAATGGTGGGTGCACCAGATGTGAGAATCTAGCCACCCAAGGAAGGGGATGATTTTACTAAGACAACACACTGTCTTAGAAAAAGAGCCAAAGGGTCGTAGCTTAGACTATTCCACAATGCAGCAATCAAGTGTATGATGTAGTGGAGTGGTTTAGACAAGTTGTAACAAATATTGAGTCTGAGAACTCAGGGATAAGTTAGAGGTTAGCACTTCACTGACTTTTCAGAAACAAGGAGTAACAAGATCAATGCTTGGAAGCTTGGAAAAGACGTGGAAGTATGTGATAGTCAATTTACTGTATTGTCTGCTTGCCCTTTCTTAAGGAAAGGGCAATCCTATTTATGCTAAAGGAGTGTAGTTCTCTCATTTTCCAAGACTTTCCATGACTAACCAGGCTTGGTAGCTGTAGTCGACATAAGAGAATCCCATAGAACCATCTCCTAGGTTCCTAGCCTATAGGAAGTGAAAGGAGGTCCAAGGTCAGAGTACCCCTATAGACAAATTATGTCATAACTTAACCAATCTTGTGGGTAACTAAGCAGCGATGACGTGTAATGAATCATAGAGGGTTGTAGAAGCTTTTGGAGCTATCGTTCATGTTCCTAGGCCTCTAGTTGATAGATATATGTCATGTGGTAGTATTAGCCCAGTAACTAAGGAGTGATGTCATGTAATGAATCATAGAGGGTTGTAGAGATATGCTATGTGGTAATATCGGCCCACTAACTAAGGAGCGATGATGTGTAATGAATCATAAAGGGTTGTAGCAATCATTGAGTAGTATTGCTCTTGTTGTTGGAGTGATAAGCCAAAATATGTATAGTGACTTGTAGGTTTGAGGAGGAGATTTTGTAAGGACACAGGGCACCCAGCTCACAGTAATAGCATATGAGAGTGTGAGTTGGAGGCTAAACGGATGCTATCCTATAGGTCTACTACGAAGGATACAAAAAAGATGATGAGGAACCCCGTTGGGTCAATCCCCGTAAGTACCCGGAACGGGTCCAACTCGGCTAACCTGCCCTAACTCTCCCCACGTGACCATAACCTGCCCGACTCCGATCCTTTCCGTCACTGAGGGCGGAGGCATCCTTACAGATTTCTAAGTTTGCTCTTGAGTTTGATATCAAACTGAGTGCAATGAATGTCAGTATGACAGGGGGATCCTCTAAGGCCTAGGGCAGGCTAAGCTAGTTGAGGCTAGGGCTAGGGCTCTCAATAGACTCTCTAATAGGTTTAGAGAGCTGGCTTGCCATCTGCATAGCAAGCTAGGCCGTTTGCTAGATGCTGTGAGGGTTGGCTTCCATAGTTATCATAGAGTAATATATAGTATTGATGTATAGGATGTCGTTTAAATTGTGGGCAAAAACTCCATATACCCAGTAAAACAATAAATAAATTCTATATACCCAGTTCCATCCCACGTGACCCGCCCAAGCCCAATCTAGAAACTCCCCCCGTTCTCATATGAGAACGGGTCAATTATGAGGCCTGCGGCAAGTCCTGGCATTATGCCCAGGCTCGCCGCAGGTGCCGCAGCGTGTGCGGACCAAGTCCGGCACAGCGGCAATGACTGCCCCAAGCGGCAGAAGTCCCCTGTGATCCCGGCGAGCCCGGCGTCTTCGAGGACGCCGGGCATCCTCCCTCCGAACCCTCTCTTTTCGCGGTCGGCTGCGGGGGATTCCATTGCTCATCGTCGGGGCTGGCTCGGACATGCCAGGCACAGCCCTCCTCGGGACAAACGGCGGTTGCCCCATCTTTGTCCCTCCTCTGGAGCCGCCAGGAGAATTTCTCCTTGACGGCCCAGTCGTCCAGGGCGCGGGACCAAGCGTCCAAGTCGAGGAACTCGCTACTGTCGACAGGGGCAGCGAGTTCGGCTAGCGAGGCCATTGTAGGAGGCAGGGGCAGGGGAGGCGGGGGAGTTTGTGCCTTGCGCGAGAGCTTCCGAGGGGTGTTTCGAGGGGGTCGGAGGAGGGAGGGAGCCTGGGAGGTGTCAGCGGGGTTCGGTGGAGGGGAGGAAGGGAAGGGGGAGGAGGTTTGGGGGTCTCAATTGACCCCCGACTTACCATGCAATTGAGCTGGTATATTGCCAGCTCAATTGCTTCAAAAAGGCCATATGAGAGCACCTACTCTCAAATGAGAGAACGCCTCTCATTGGCTCGTTAACCTTCCAAAGGGTTAGCGGCCGACTGGGTAGATGGAGTTTTCTTACCAGTTTACTGGGTATATCGAGTTTTTGCCCTTAAATTGTTGATTATGGCACTACATACGATACAACACTACTAATTTACTAGGCTAGAAATGGCTCTGTCACAGTGTGACAGTCGCCTTTCCTATTTGGGCACGTGGGGCTAGAGTGGGCACCTTGGCATTAGGTACGCCTTACCAAATATGTTACTGTTACACGCTAAAAGTGTGACAGTAACAGTTGCTAAATTGCTTTATTACGCCACTATGTTCATTACGCCACGACTTACGTTATATTATGAATCTCGTCCACTCTAATCTTAAATACCCTTGAACTGGTATTTTCTTGTTCGAGTCAATTGACGCGTCTCCAAATCTGTGACTAAGCGTCTATCAACCTCTTTGGCCTATTGGAGGAAGTAAGCTGACAGGGCGACGACCTTTGTGGTTGGATTTATCCTCGTTTTATTGGATGTTATATATTATTTGTTCATCTTGTGGAGGGGTAGTGGGGGTAGGTATAAGAGATGAGGGGTTCATCCGCTCCTTTCCGAGCTGCACAGTAGTATAATGATACATTACATCAGTCATAATCTACCCCGCTATCGCCCCCCTCTATTACTTATTCTTCATCGAAGCCCACCCCCCTCCTCTTCTTTCTTTCCTCTCATCAACATTACAATAATCGCCTCAGATATTATATTTGCCTTTCAAGCATTCCAAAATACTCAAAGTAACTCCGGATAAGCTGCCAGCATTCTAATGAATGCTAACTCACAGGTCTAGGATATTTCTTCAGAACCAAGTACTTACCATCAACATGATGGAAGTCATGCCATCTGCTAGCATGGCGTTATCCCGAGATTATCAAGGTATCACATAACAGAGAAGAGCTCTGAGCATGAACCGGTGTCCGTTCTCTAGCGCCTCCACACGCTATCATCCACCTCCTACAGCTGTAGGAGATATGGTAGTGCCTGGAGATCCGCGGAGTTCGTTCTGAGATTATACGGTTAAATGGACTTGATCTGGATAATACCAGCGAAAGGATCATGCCTTCCTCCCCCTTCCAACGATGGTGCTAATCCCCTATTAGCTCGTGATCAATCATGTCTCCACCATCAGCAATGGTTACTGAGCTCGTGTCTCCCGTGAGTACCTTCCAGAAGCCGAATGTTAACAGCATTCCTCTGCGCTCTGCCAACTCAAAGACCCTTGACGAAATGGCTGGCAATTGGGGGACGGACTTTGCGTTCGCCCCAATCCGTGAGTCCCAGGTCTCGCGTGCCATGACCCGCCGCTACTTCAAGGACTTGGATACCTACGCCGAGTCCGACATTGTCATCGTCGGCGCGGGATCTTGCGGTCTCAGCGCGGCTTACATGCTCGGCAAGGCTCGCCCAGACTTGAAGATTGCCATCATTGAGGCTTCAGTCTCGCCTGGTGGCGGAGCTTGGCTGGGAGGCCAGCTCTTCTCGGCCATGGTTATGCGCAAGCCTGCTGATGCTTTCCTCACCGACCTCGGCGTCGAGTTTGAGGACGAAGGAGACTTTGTCGTTGTTAAGCACGCCGTAAGTCGCTATCCTACGTTTCGCATGGCCTTCTATTAACATCTATTCTGTAGGCTTTGTTCACCTCCACCCTCCTCTCCAGGGTTCTTCAATTCCCAAACATCAAGCTCTTCAACGCAACCTGCGTCGAGGACCTCATCACCCGCAATGCCGGCGATGCTGTCGACCCCTCCGCCGTCCAGATCGCTGGTGTTGTCACCAACTGGACCCTCGTTACCATGCACCACGATGACCAGTCCTGCATGGACCCCAACACCATCAACGCTCCTATCATCATCTCCACCACTGGCCATGACGGACCATTCGGAGCTTTCTGCGTCAAGCGCCTTGTGTCCATGGGACAGCTCGAGAAGCTCAATGGCATGCGTGGTCTGGACATGAACACCGCCGAGGATGCCATTGTCAAGGGCACCCGGGAGATCGTTCCAGGACTGATTGTCGGAGGCATGGAGCTGTCCGAAATTGACGGATCGAACCGCATGGGACCTACATTCGGAGCAATGGTTTACAGTGGGGTGGCGGCAGCTGAGGCTGCTTTGAAGGTCTTCGACCAGAGGAAGGCGGAGTGCTCTGCTTAGAGCTTGCCGGTGTGAAAATCGAGGGCAGGCAAGGCGGCAAATCTTCAACGGTGCCGATTGCATTCCTAGGTCTCAACGCATAGGGATTAACCTTCGTACAACTGGAAAATTATGTAGCTATGTCAAATGGACAGTCTCTTATCATTTAAATTTTGATTCATACTGCCTGTGTTTATTTTTAAAATGGAACGTCTGTCAACGGCACTCGTGCTGCCCGAAATATCCCAAAGGGGCCACCACGCATAACAGTTACTAAGAATCCAGGAATAAATGCCGGATCCATCGTTGATGCGAGTGTCTATAGCAACTATAAATAGAGTAATGTGTCTCAGTCACTCCAACCCTGATTATCATATTACGGCATTTTAATGAGCCTGTCACTCAGAAACCAGAGTTTATTGGCTTTGACTAAAGAGACCGATTCTCGACTTCTCATAGGTCCTTCTCAGCCTCCTAGGCAGCACGAATAGGACTGAAATCAGTATTCAGATAGTCGTATGGTCTTAGTCTTTTAATTTATATTTTTTGGGATGTTTATTAGCACAAATGACGTCATACAGAACCTATCCACAAGAATATCACACTATCCACCCATGAAAAGACCATGCCAATACGATGTTTCTATTTATCATTATTGCTATATCCCGCATATTTCTTCTTGTAGATCTTTGTACTGTAATTCGCAAAGAAAGGTTCTAGAACGATTTACGTAAATATCCCTCAGTCATCTGTTGTGGGGCACCTGGTGACCGTTAAATTTCGCGGGTGGCGGGGTAAGGCGGGGCAGGATGGGTAAGGTCATCGCAGGTTTCAACGACGGGAGGCCGGAATCTGTCCGATACAGGACCTGTTACCGATATTAAAGGGATGCTGATGGAATCTATTTAATGTCTCACAGCATTGACTCTTCCCGTCGCCTCTTCACTGCCAAAATGTCGTCTCCAAGCGTGGCACCAGATCAACCCCAACAAAATCTAAACAGCAATATCGCGGCTATGCAGCACCCGGAGAGCAGGGTGCTGATTATTATGACGGGAGGCACAATATGTATGAAGGAGAGCCCGCAGGGTTTAGTTCCTGCAACGGGGTTTATGGATGAGGCGATGAGGCCGAGGCCAAGCTTTAATGATGGGAGCATATGCGGTACGCTTAACTTTCCATTCAGTTTAATTATATTTAGCGAATGCGAGCCAAGAGAAATAAAAAAAGGGCGTAATAGGGATGGAGTGGTCGCACACAGAGTTGGACTGTTGCTTGCAGTGCAAGATGCAACCAATGGCTAAGGCCACAAGGCGCTCACATCTCTTGCCACTGCAAGAGTAATGAGGCGTCTAGAATGTCGTTTTAACAACGAGTTTACCTCCCACTTTCCCCATGATTTAATTCAGTCCCCAGTGATTTTGCATCGTTTCTCATAATTTGCGGTCTCCCTAAAGTAGCCATCTGACAACCCCAGAACCACTACCAGTAAATATTAATGACAAAACCACCGAGTACCGCCCATCCCTACGAACACCAATCTCAAAGTACTCCCGCCACGTCCGCTACGCCCTCTACGAATTCCCCGTTCTCCTCGATTCCTCCTCCATCTCCTCCGCCGGCTGGTCCCAAATAGCCTCCTGCATCCAAACCAACTACGCCCTCTACGACGGCTTCGTAATCCTCCACGGCACCGACAGTCTCGCCTACACCGCCTCGGCACTCTCCTTCATGATCTCCGCGCTCGGAAAACCCGTCATCCTAACTGGCTCCCAAGCCTCAATCTTCGCCCTCCAGTCCGACGCCGTTGACAATCTCCTCGGCGCCCTCATCATAGCAGGTACCTTCCTCATCCCCGAAGTCTGCCTCTTCTTCCACCGCACCCTCTATCGCGGTAACCGCACCACCAAAATCTCCGCTACCGCCTTTGATGCCTTTGGCTCGCCGAACTGCGACGCCCTCGCCCGCGTCACCGGTATTGGAATCGACGTGAACTGGTCGCTCATTCACCGTGCTACAGCCGTAGAGCGCTTCAACGTCCAGTTCGCCCTCGACACCGCCCACGTCGCGTGCCTGCGCATCTTCCCCGGCATCACCCCCGCGCTGCTCGACTCCGTTCTCAAAGTCCCAGGCCTGCATGGCCTGATCCTCGAGACCTTCGGTGCCGGCAATGCACCCTCGGGGCCGGACGGTGCGTTCATCGACGTCATCAAGGCTGCTATAGGGCGTGGTATTGTTATCGTAAGCGTCTCGCAGTGTCGCTCCGGTACCGTGTCACCCCTATACGAACCCGCCACCATCCTAGGTAACGCCGGCGTCGTTTTCGGGCACGACTTAACCACCGAAGCTGCGCTAACGAAGCTCTTCTTCCTCCTCGCTCTGCCGGGGCTTTCATACGCAGAGATCGTGCGCCAAATGTCCATCCCTCTGCGTGGGGAGATGACGGCGCTCCCATCTAAGCACCAGTTCGCGCATCTCCCATTGCTTGATCTTGGTGCATCTCTGTCGACCGAGCAGGTCAGGTTCACGGAGTTGGGATACGCGATCGCGGCGGGCGAGTTGGATAAGATCAAGTCGATGCTGGATACGGAGTCGCATGTATTGTTGCTTGCGAGGGATTATGCGGAGAATACTGCGCTGCATCTTGCAGCTGTCAGTGGTGAAGTGGAGGTTGTGAAAGAGCTGTTGCGGAGGGGTGCGAGCGTGCATGAGAGGAATGCAGCGGGGAATACACCTCTTGGGTTGGCGGACAAGGCGGGTAGGTTGCAGAATGCTGCATTGTTGAAGGAAGCTGGGGCGTTGCTCCATGCTGAGGAGAATGAGAGGGCGGAGTTAGATGGTGAGGCTTAGATCGCAAAAGGGGATTCTATAATTGTCGTCTTGAGACGAGTAGTATCGTAATAACACATAGAGTAGGGGGTGGACTAGGAAATCAAAAGCTTTGTTTAGACTGATATAAGAAGACGTTATAGTTCGTGTGTTGGACTGTTATAAGAAGACGTTATAGTTCGTGTATTGTATGGCTCTCTTGATTGAACGAACAGTAGGGCCAAGGTGTATAAAGACGCTCGTCTTGCCAACCGGCGGCGAGCGTCTCCGGCCAAGCTCAGGGGCCAGCCCCCCCTAGGCAAGCGTACAGCCGTGGAGCTGGGTTCCCGCTTGCCTGAGGATGAGGAAGGGGGAGGACTGGTTCCTAAGGCTCCAGCCACTTCCATAAGCGCCCGGGGCAACTATATGTATCAGATCAAGCGGCTACCCTTTAATTCCAAAGGTCCGATGGTCTAGTGGTAAGACACGGCTTCTCAACTTCCGATTTTGGGCCTACGCCACTCAAGCTCCTTGGATACTTGCGGGCTTGCGGATGAGAATCAGCGGAGACTCCAGTTCGATCATGATCATACCATTATTGTTTTTGGCTTTTTTTTTTGGATATTTTTTGGGGCCGCTTTCGAATGTTGTATGAGGGGGTCGAACGCGGCCCCCTCACACAAGGGCGTTTATTGTTTAAGGCTTTTGTTGGCGTTGTCAGGCCCCTTTCGCATACCACCACTTGATTCTTTGTTGTTGTAAGTTTTGAACGCCCAATTCTCATTACTGACATGGGGCGTGCTTCCAGGCTTTATCATTTTGCACTGAGTATTCTGTTCCAGCTCATCCACCTCAAACAGGTTCGATCCATGAAGCTTCCGGGACTCTCGGCTCTTCTTTCAGCACTGGTGTCAATACTTCCGCCATATTCCAGACACATCTCCATTCGGACCGCGCATACCAGAAGAGTCCAAGACGCATCTTCAGCCAGTCCTTTCGACAACCTCTGGGCCCTGATGCATATGTCGAGATTCAGCTCTCAGCATCACCAAACACCGTCACCGCCCCATCCGTCCCAGCACAACACCACTGATTCCTCCCCCTCCAATTCCTCCACGCCACACAACTAACCACATTCCTCCTCTCCCTCTCCTTCCCAAACGCATCTAGCCTCTTCCTTCCGCTTTCCACCCCTCTCGGCACCTTCACCCTCGCCACCTCCCCCCCGGTCATCGTATCCCACGCCACCACCTCCCCATCCGCCTCACTCCCACTAACCACCCACCTCTCCCCTCTCCCCCCAAAACAACTCCTCACCCTAAACTCCCCCCCACCGCGCCATCATAACTCATCAAACTCCCCCCATTCCCTCGATCCATCAACCTCACCCCCCCAAGCGACCCGACAAGGACACCCTCCCCATCCCCCGTCGCGCAGAGGCTAGTCACAGGCTCCCCAATAACATCCGTCACGCACCTCCCCATGCGGATATCATAGCAGCGGACCCGCCCATCCACGCTGCCCGCCAGAACCTCCGCCGGCCGTGCCGGGCAGACGAGGACAACTTGAACGGCGTCGCGCGCTTCAGAGAGGACTTGGATGGGTTTCATTGATGAGGCTTTCGCGTCCCATAACCGCACGCTGGCGTCAAAGGAACCGGAGACGAGTACACTCTCATCCACACCCGCGAACGCTACGGTGTTGATACGCGCTGTATGGCCGTGCTGGCCACCGAACCTCCGAGTTGTTTTTGCGGTCGCTACGTCCCAAAGGAAGACGGAGCGGTCGCCGCCGCAGGATGCAAATCTCGCATTATCACTACTCCACACAACCGCATTAGCCTCCCTTTTTCTGTCTCCCACTCCAACTTCAACTTCCAACCTCCAATACCGCCAGGGGAAAAAGGGGGGGTCCGCGTACCTAGCAACACACAAATCCAACACCTCATACCCATGCGCCTCAAACGTCTGCACCAATTTCCCCGGCTGCACCGCGCCCCTCGGCCCGCTGCTTGCAGGAAATGGGTTATACAGCCGTATCGCCCTATCCCCCGAGCCAGTGAGGATATATGCCGCGGGGGCGGCAGAGTAGGCGAGCGCGTGGATGGGGTAGGGCGTCCCTGGGAGCGAGGCGATGGGGGTGGATGGGAAGGGCGTCGTCGTCGTCATTTTCGGAGGTGCGGTTTGCTGGTTACAAGTAAGTATAGCCCCGCCCGCAAGGAAAACGACACAGCAGCAGCGTCAAAATCCCAATCTCTTTCCCTTCCCTCACCCAGCTCTCAATTGAATACATAAAACCCAGAGCCTCGCGCTTAGACTCACCCCTGCACCCAACCCCCCCACCCACTGCGCGCCTCTCTCTCACCGCCCCGGCAAATCATATATCCGCCCACCGCCCTCACAACCGAATCGAGCAACACCGCCGACAGCCCAGCCAACCGGCTTGTTGGCGCACAGCAGCGCGGGCATCGAGCTTCATAGGTTGGGGGCGATCGATCGGGGGCTGCGTTAGTGGGATGATAGGATAGGGGGATAGCGTGGGCTTTATTCTGACTACATGTCTTGTGTGCTGTTTTAGTTGGTTTGTGGGGTTTTGTGATATGGGTGGGGAAGGGGGGATGGTGGTGATGGTTTCGGGATATTTTTTGGAGGAGGTGGGACGAACTGATAAGACGTTTGGATTTTGGGGACTTTGGCTATTTGACGGATTTGACGGATTTGATGAGATGTTGATGAAGGTAGATTACTATACTAAGATTAGGTATCCGTGTCGTTTGATCTAGACCTCCTCTGCTCATATATCTCTATCACTCTCTCAAACACCCCCCCTTCTCATGTATTGCCCCTCCCCTCTGCCTTCATTTCGCAAAACCCTCATTGCGTCTCCCCCTCGCCCCTCTGACTAATTCCCCGTCTATCCTCGTAGACGACGATGATGATAATTCCAATCCCAGAAACCTTTGTTACATGATGCATATATATAGATAGCCGCCTGCAAATGAAAGCCAACTCCAGTTAAAACCCAAAAAACCCAGCCCGCCCATCCATCCATCCATCCGGGGATCTTCCAATCCCAATCTCCCAGTCTCTCACTCTCCATCTCATCCACCTCGCCCTCACTGCTTCATCGCATCCTCCCACGCCTCAAACGTAGCCGCATACACATTATCCCTAGCCCCCCTCCCCGACAGCGCATTGATCGAGTTTCTCATCTCAAAGATCCCCTTCTCCGGATCCACAACCGCCTCGCCCACCCCCCTCACAGAAGCATCCGACGCTGAGTTCGCCGCATTCCAGCCATTAGTGAGCAACGGCAGCGACAAAAACGCTTCGAGCCGCGCCTTAACCTGGTCCTGTTGCAGGCGCGCACTGTGCCAGAAGTTGGCTAGCTCATCGACGATCTTGCTCGGCCCATTGATGCGGGCGTGGAATGTCGTAATGTCAGCTAATCTCCCTTTCGCAGACAGAATATCGATTGCGTTGACGATGATGAAACCGAAATACGGGCTAGAGAATTTCGTCGATGCGGCTGGAGTGGTCGGAAGACGCACGCTACGGCTCGCCATGTTCTGCGCTAGGTCGAGTATGGCGTTTGCGTGCTCGAAGGTGGTTCGTAGGCTGGCTTTGAGGGTAGGCGTTGTTCCGCAATCGAACCGACCATAGCGGTGGAGATTCGTATATGATACGAGGTAGAGACAGTGCAAGCTAACAAAGCTTCCAACCGTGCCCTCTTTTACCGCGGCATCCAAGTTCTCCATGGTGTTCTCGGCTGATGGCAACAGTGAGCCACGCCATCCCTCAAGCCGCGCGATGGTCGTGGAGTAGAACGATGAGAATGGCTCTGTCGCTGCAACATTGGGCGACTTGGAAGCGCGATAGTTGTAATCGCGTATATCTCCCCATATAGCTAAGATGTTGATCATGTAGGCCGTAATACCAACATCCTTGAGGTTGCTCTGGACCACAGACGGATCGAAAAACGGCGCGCTGGCGCCAGTCAGATTTTCGCAATTCTTCTTCGTAGTTGGATAGCGCAAAAAGATGTCCTTCGGGTTGATGGTGTTCAGATGGCCGTTGCAGAATGTACTGAAATGATCCAAGATATAACACGACCAGAACGTCCGGCGGCGGCACTCTGCGTAGGCAACGCGGTCGAGGTTGAAGATAGTCGTATTCCAGCCCTTCTCAGACTCGCCCAACTCCACGTTCAAGCCCAACCAAGTTGCCGCACGAACGGCTGAGCCGCAGAAATCCAACGACTCGCGATATTTGTTGATAGCCACGTAGTACAACGAAAGGAGCAGCCTGCTCTGCACGAGATGCAGACTAAACTCGCTCCCCTCAGCAGCACATCTGCAGACAGCCGCAAACTCCTCTCCTCGCTGTTTGGCGCCATCTGAAGTTGAAAACACCGTCGCGAGCGCAAGTAGGCCGTAGAACAACATGATATCCTGCGGGCTCTTCCGTATGCTGCGATCGGCGACCCATGCTCGGAAGTGTGGCTCGGGCAAAAAGGGGTATGTGGTGCATGAAGTGTTGAGGAAGAAATTGTCCAGAAGATCGAAGGACAGTGCCTCATTAGTCTCGAACGGATTTTCAGTCGCCTGCCTCGTGCACCAATCCAAAGACCGGTAGTTCAGGCTCGGTGAGGGTTGCTGATGTACTTGGTTGGAATGCCCATCTGGTCTATCGGCCTTCACGGGCATATACGCATCATACGCGCTTCTGTGCCGTTTCGGTGCGTTCTCATCGATTTCCGACCCCGGGCTTCGCTGTCCTTGCTGGTACGGCGCATAATGAAGGTCACGCTTCTCAGCTTTATTTCCATCAAGCTCTGATAATTGGGACACCGAGCGAGTCAGGGCATCTTCTGGATCCGCCGGAGGAGTTTCGGGTGAGCCTTGACCGCCTCTTGGGCTATCATAATGTCAGTTTTCATTCTAGAAGAGAAAAAGAGGCTAACTCACGCATTCTTGAACTTGCAGACCCGTCCAAATTTGTCGCATTGGACACATCTCGGATAGTCAGGGTCGCATTTTATCTTCTTCTCACGGCAGGTAATGCATGCAATAGCAAGCCTCTTCCGTGGCTTGCCCGCCTTCGTTACACCCCAATGTGCGTTGACCGGCTCGCCATCAATGACAGTCTTGCAGTGCGTCCCATCGTCGTAGAAGTAGCAGATTCCCTCGCCAGGGACCTCAGCTTGACGGACAAATCGAGGAAGGAAATGAGTGCCAGTCCAAATTTTAGGTCCAAGCGTGTCTTTGGGAGATGTTGGGCCAGATGATAACGCGTTGGGGGGAGTCTGGTGGTATGGCTTCCTCATGGTATGTGATTGAGGGGATCTCGCGTATGAATGTCTCATATCCGGCTCGTGCAGCTGGATATGTGGAGAAGCTTTCAGGTCCCTGGGGTGGCCGTACGGAGAGGTTGCATCTTTGGGCATTGGAGGGAAATAGCCACGATACGACACCTCTGATCCTGGTGAAAACCGTACTGACGACGCTGATGGTCTACCATACTGTGCCTCCCTATATTCCCATACTGCATCGTATCCTGGAGACTCTGGCTTCCTGTGGTCAAGGACAGATCGCGGAGGAGGTGGTAGACGGTCCGACGAGACTGAATGGAGAGATTGGTTGAAAGGATATTGGCCTGAAGGCTCAGACCGAGGGCGACAATATGACGGGTCCCATAATTGGTCCAGATGGTTTGCGCTTGCCTTCCTCACAGTAGATTCGGGAGATCTTGGCTTGAATGTTGGGCTCGGGTTAGAGTACGGGGATCGGGCGGGTAACGGGGCCTGCGTCGAACTGAATAAGCTGCTCAGTGGCGGTAGTCGCTCTCCATTAGTAGTCCTCGGACTTATTCCCGGGCGTGCAGACTCATCGCCCAAAGATCTGTCTGGCGGCGGGATGGTGTATGGCCCGCGCTTGTGTTGTTCTGACAATGAGAGTGGCTCGGGGCGTGGTGCATTCCAACTACTGCGATCTCCGCGATGTTCAGGTAACGAGGTGGGATACATACGACCACTGTTCAACTCTCCAAGCTTAAGAGAGTTGATCTTGATCTGGTCATGGGCGAAAGACCGCTCAAATATGGAAGTGATAGCGGGCGGTTGCGCGTACATCTGCGACATTTGGTGGTGAGTTTACTGAGAATGGGTTGGGTTGGAGTTCGCGGGGCTGCTCATAAGGTCATCCAGCTTATCCAGGCCCATACACAAGCGCCGCACGGATGCTATGATCCTTCTGGAGCTGGAGTGTCAATAATCAAGCGGTGGAGATCCAACATGCGAGGCGTAGATCAAGGATTGGGGAGGCTCTTGTAGGGAAGCGACGCCGTTTTGTTGTAATGGAGTGGCGGGATGGCGAGTGTGTCCTTCATAAATGATAGAGAAGGCCCAGTGGCTATCAAGGATAACGGACTAGGTGAGTCTTGGGGGCGTCTGCTCTCTCAAGAGAGGGCCGATGTGGGTATTCCCTTCTGCTCGATTTCTGGTGGGGGTCTTATGGTCACCGGTACTTGGGAGGAGGGGCCTTTGTCTCCCTGGTAGACTCGTTGTAGCAGAAAGTACAGTACCAAGAGTCAGGTCGCGACTGTGAAGAAACGATACATGCACCCATAGGACCTTAGGTGGGAGCAGTTCCCCTCGTCCAGCCGGGTTGGTAGTTTCCGGTGGACTGATCAGAAACGGTTTATATTAAGCGTCTTGGTCTTGGGAGGATCCTCAGAGGGTCCTTTGGAGGGTCCCTTGCGGGGCCTTTTCGCCAATACAGACACGAGGTTATGGGTCGGGGGAGCCCTGTCCTTGCTACTTACTCGAGGTGCATAGAAAACTGCAGGTGGAATGCAGGTAAGAAGGAAGGAATGGGAAGGGGAGAGGTGAAAGGTGGCTTGGGGGAGGTTGCGGTAGTGTCCGAGCCTTCTTGTCGACGGGGAATAAATGAAGATGGAAGGAGATTAGGTTGATTCGAGAAGAATTCCCCACAAGGGCGATGTAGGGTTCCGGGGAGAAGAGATGCCCGTGTCCTTTGAGAGCGTTGCTGATAAGGTCGTTTGGTGGTGGCCGTTTCTCTTTGCCCAGGAAGAAGGAAGGATGCTTGTTGGTCCTTTCCAGAGTTGCTTGGGAGTGAGCGGCGAGGGGCAGGAGAGTACAGGTATGTACGAGGACGAAGTAGGATGGTCGGATAATAGACAGAGCAGGGCGTGGCGTGCACGATCCTGCCGGCTCGTCTCGAACTCAGGGATTATAGCTGTGGGGTCGATGCGGGAAAAAACAGCTAGGCAAGGCACTGGAGTGCAACTTATATTGAAGAGGAAGGCGATTGAGTGTTTTGGAGTAGTAGAGTAGTAGAGTAGTAGAGTAGTAGAGTAGTAGAGTAGTAGAGTAGTAGAGTAGTAGAGTAGTAGAGTAGTAGAGTAGTAGATAGTAAAGTAGTAGATAGTAAAGTAGTAGATAGTAGAGTAGTAGAGTAGTAGATAGTAAAGTAGTAGATAGTAGAGTAGTAGTAGTAGATAGTAAAGTAGATAGTAAAGTAGTAGATAGTAGAGTAGTAGAGTAGTAGATAGTAAAGTAGTAGATAGTAGAGTAGTAGATAGTAAAGTAGTAGAAGTAAAGTAGTAGATAGTAAAGTAGTAGATAGTAAAGGGGATGGATCTCGCGTCTATGGGTTGAGTAGGGCCGTAGTAAAGGTAGTAGGGCCATAGTAAAGCACTATAGTAGTCTGCCTGCTATCAACGGAAAAGCAGCAGTAGCAGCAGTAGCGCGCAAGGGAAAAAAACAAGTGCGAACAGGCCCGGACAAGGGCGAGGTAGGTCCGTATATCCACGCGAGCGCAAGGAACAGACTATTCCCCACTATCCCCGTCATCCTGTCTGTACTAGTTACCGGTTTACCAGTACTCGTCTTCTCGGTTGTAATCAGAGAGCGGGATATGAAAAAATGGCCTGTTCAAACTCTGCACCGTCCCGTCCCGTCCTTGCCTTGTGCTGTCTATAATTTGTTATAATAAGGGCAACCACAGACAGTGGACTACCGTCGCGGCAAGAGAGATGGATCCTCAGTTACATTCAACACCCCTTCATACTGCAACCCTCCGCCCCCCTCGGCCTCTCCTCCCCACCCCTCAGCAACCCGGTCCAATACTTTAGACGCGGGCCGAGCACATGTCCATCTGGAGATTCAGTGTACCATCCCGGCCGCACACCCTCTGGATAAAGCCAGTAGACGCGAAGGTGTGTGTGTGGAGGAGGGTGCTGATCAGGTACGGCAATCACGTTGGGGGGTGGCGGTTGTGTGAGTTGCAGTGTTTAGACGTGATGGGATTGTCACTGGGCGAAAGCGAGGTGAGACATATGGCTTTTGCTTCCTCCCCCTCCCACTGCCCCTCTGGTATTTCATTTCCCTATTTCTCGCGTGCGTCGTCGTTGGGGGAATAATTTTTTTGTTCTTTTTCCCTCCCCCCCCGCTTCTTTTGCTCCCATGCAACTTACCCTTCTCTTGGCAAGGGGGAAGGGGGAGGGGTGGGGGGTTGGTTAGCTGTGTGGCAAGTGGCGGTTTTCGGGCAACGGCATGTGACAAGGGCAAACAAACATGGGTGATTTACGCCCAAAACGCCAGATGCCAGATAAGCCAAGCACAGGATGAAGCACAGGATGAAGCACAGGATGAAGCACAGGATGGGGAGTACATGCCAAGGTAACTGGACTCAAAGGATTGGAGTGGATGCATGGACCGAAGAATGTACCAGTATGGAGGTCGGCTCGGCACCGGCGACCGGCGACCGGGGCATTCCGCCCTCTCTTTCTCCGATTCCCCTTCTCTTTGTCCGACTTCTCCTTCCACTTCCGCCGTACGTAAACCCGACCTTATCCCCCTTCCCTACGTACAGTACGAGTACGACCATCCCCCCGGAACTCGCCCCGAGACTCACCCCGAAACTCGCCCCGGAACTTCTCTACCTGTGGCCCGTGTGTGCCCCCTCAGTCCCGCCCAGTCCCGCTCAATCCCGCTCAGTCCCGCTTAGTCCCGCTTAGTCCCGCTCAGTCCTTGCCAAGCGAGCAAAACCAACAAAGAAACCCATCCAGGCCTCAGACCTCAGGCCATAAACCACGACGGGACCAACACGCACCAACACGTACCAACACACACCAACACGCACCAACACGCACCAACCAAACCCGCCAAACCCGCCAAACCCTCGCATTTCCCCATTCCGAACACGAACAAATGTTTTCTTTTACCGACTGGATCACCTCATCTGTTCATCCAACGCAACGCAATGCCCCTTCGGCGATTATTGTGTCCCGTTTCGTTCTAGCCAGAAGGAAATTATACTTCCAACAAACACAATCTGCCCAGTACATCATGCACATGCCACACAAAAGTCCATACCATCTTACAGACCCCGACGTGTGCGCCGACGTGTATGCCAACGTGCGGCATCTCTACTTTGTTTTGTGAGATGCGATCTTAGTGGGCGGTTGACAACACGACGCTAAAAGTAGTCAGTGTCTGACATTCCCACGTGGCTGCGATCTGCCGAACGGTTCTATATGTCTGTACGGCGTAACGGCGCCTTACTTTACGCGTACTATGTATGGCCTTCCATCCGTCTTCCATCCGTCTTCCATCCGTCTTCCATCCGTTCTCGGACCTCATCCAGGTCAGGTGAGATGAAGCCGTAGAAAACAAGTATAGCAAGCACTCCCTCCCATCGCAACACAGCCCATGCCCGCAAGGTACCTCCAACAACAATGCCAGATGCCAATTAATATATCCAGCATGCGCCTCGCCTCGATATTATTACCATAAGCAACCAAACCTGCCCAGGGGGGTACTTCGGTTTATTATTTGACAGCATCAGCTGCACTCTACTATCCAGTACATCCAGATTGCTGCACCATCTCCCGCACGACGCCGGCAGATCCCCGCTCGGTACCCCTGCCACCCTCGGTATCCCATCTCGCGGCCGTCCCCCTCGTGCTGTGTGCCGGCGTTGCTCGAGTCGTGTGCGTGCGTGCGGACCCGACCACCGACCACCGACCACCGCGTCCGTTCGTTCGCGAGTCAAATCCTTCGACACTTCTCACACTCCATCGATCCGGAGCGAAGGACCCATAACCAAACAGCTTTGCTGCATCGGGATGGTGTTGGTTGCTGCGTGTGGTGGTGGAGCTAAGTTGAGGAAATCGCGAGGGGGGGACATGAGGATTCCAAATCAGCTATTGGTCGTACAAGCCTCGCCGAGTGTATCCCCCACCGCCGCGATCCCCTTCGGTACTGCACATGCAACCACACACTCTAGTATATTTCCGTCTCCCCCCTCTCGCCTCAGTCCTTGCCCACTGGCGACCTCAAGTCCCCTCAAGTCCCCTCAAGTCCCCTCAGTGCCGACCGCCCCCCTCGATCAGCCTCGACCAGAAATCCCTATTTAGACCCGCCGGACCACCTGTGCCGCGGTATTCACTGTACCGTACTGTACCGAGTGTACTTAATCATCGCTTACAGCTTGCAGTCAGAGAGGGCCAGTGCAATAAGCCCGCTTAGCATAGCTGTTTACAGCTTACCATCCCATGTCTAGCCCTTGGGCAAAAGAATGGTGCCTCCTAAGCTACTAAGGGGTCTTCTAAATTCCTCCATCGCTCCCTTGCAGTCAGTGACAGACAATTGCGAGATCCCTTCCTCTCTCTCGACCAGCGGATGGGGGATGTCATGCAGCAAGTTCCATACATAGACACCACGTTGACCTACCTCACAGGTACTGTAGTAGGTCGGGCTGAATGCAAGGGTTAGGTCAGAATGACCAATCACCCCACTTTTACACTAAGCGAGCCTTAGCAATTCACCTTCGCCACAATCCTTTAAATAAGCTGGTCAAGATGAGCTCTTATTCTGTTTAAGCTCGCTTTTTATTCATTACGCACAAGTACGGAGTAATGCATGTCGAATAGCTAGCATGAGCTCGGCGACCTGAATCCGGCGCTTGACAGCATTCTGCGGTGTGATACCTGTGACGCGAGGACATATAAGATCTGTGATACCTGTGACATGAGGACATATAAGATTGACTAGCTGCGTCCTCTGCGGGATCTGATGCTCAACCACTGACTCAATGTACTCTTCCTCTTACTGTCCATTGTTATACCTCTCAATGTACTCTTCCTCTTACTGTCCATTGTTATACCTCTCAATGTACTCTTCCTCTTACTGTCCATTGTTATACCTCTCAATGTCTTCTATTGAGCGGCGACAAAAACAATTATCTCGGTATCTTGAGAGAGAATGTTCCGACGCCTAGTCCTAGCACTACCGATTGCAGCAGTAAGTCGCCGAACTTCTGCCTCAATGGTCGTCCCCTGAATTCTGTACGCCCCAGCTTTCAACTGGTCTCGCTCCTGCTCAAGTGCAGTGATGATGGGGACGTGAACCGGTGCGCGTGGATCGCACATGAGACTCATATGCGTCAGCATGCGAAGGACGACATCTACAGAGGGATGCCCGAGTCCAGCAGACTGAACATCAAACCGCACTTTCTCATTGGCGTAGTGTCCGTAGTGTTCGTTATGCAGAGCAGAGTTTGCATTGTGTCGCATCACCTGGTCCCTAACAGCATCGGTAGCAGCATCTAGATAGCAAAAAGTCCAAATTAGCAAGGGTGATCTCCTTCTTAAGCTACCATAAACAACTTACGATCAACGACATTGGCTGTCCTACGTCGAAAACAGTAGCTAGTTAAAATCTCCTTGATGCCTGCTATCTTCCCAAGGCGGTTGAGGGGATCATGAAGCTGATTGTATGGAAGGGCTGCCTCCGAATCATCGCAGCGGAATATTGGTGTCTTGAGCATTTCCTCCTTCCAGTGTAGCTCAGTGCAATTGACTAGACCACGTATCTTGTGCTCAAAGACTCATTTGGGAGTAGTTAGGCTCGGCGCCTCGAATGCATCATCTGCGAGTGCAAGGGATACAAAGTGAGTGATGGCACATAAAATCGGGTCGTCGACTTCAGTAAAGAAAAATATCGTTCTAGGCGGACATCCTCATAGCAGAGCGCATTGAAGAGTCTAGTGTCCCCTTTCACCCCACCCATATCAACGTCACTTTCGAGATCGTCGTCGTCGGAGCTGGGATTATCTCTTCGTTTCCTTTTTGAATCAACTAGCTCCGCAGGCTGGCACCCTGTGCCAAAGAGAAGGAGTAATATCAATGCAATCTGAACCCGTTGCCGCTCTGTACGGTATACAGATTTGTCATGGGCCTAGTGGCAGTTGAGTAAAAGCAGGAGATCGTCCACCCCTAAGACGGGCTTCAACTTCAGTGTTCTGTCTAGCCCGAGCGTGTCTATGAACTACTGATATTAGCAATTTTAGATTAAAAAGCGATGAACAGAAAGCCTTAGTTCTCTCATTTTCCAAGACTTTCCATGACTAACCAGGCTTGGTAACTGTATTAGAAATCAAGTGCGACCCACAACTAGCTTGCTAATCATGTAGTGAACGTAAGAGAATCCCATAGAACCATCTCTTAGGTTCGTAGCCTATAGGAAGTAAAAGGAGGTCCAAGGTCAGAGTACCCCTATAGACAAATTATGTCATAGACAAATTATGTCATAACTTAACCAATCTTGTGGGTAACTAAAGAGCGATGACGTGTAATGAATCATAGAGGTTCGTAGGAGCTTTTAGAGCTATCGTTCATGCTCCTAGGCCTCTAGTTCATAGAGATATGTCATGTGGTAGTATGAGTGATGTCATGTAATGAATCATAGAGGGTTGTAGAGATATGCTATGTGGTAATATCGGCCCAGTAACTAAGGAGCGATGACGTGTAATGAATCATAGATGGTTGTAGCAATCGTTGAGTAGTATTGCTCTTTGTCATACTGACATTCGTTGCACTCAGTTTGCTATCAAACTCAAGAGCAAACTTAGAAATCTCCTCCTCAAACCTACAAGTCACCATACATATCTTGGCTTATCACACCAACAACAGAAGCAATACTACTCAACGATTGCTGCAAACTATTCTACTACATCTGTTTATGCTACATACATCACGGCATATCATTTGGACACTCATTGAACAAGTTATTAAGAAAATCTCCTCCTTAAGGGGGTGGGCCAATACTACCACATGGCATATCTCTACCAACTAGAGGCCTAGGAACATGAACGATAGCTCTAGAAGCTTGTACAGCCTCTATGATTCATTACACGTCATCGCTCCTTAGTTACCCACAAGATTGGTTAAGTTATGACATAATTTATCTATAGGTACTCTGACCTTGGACCTCCTTTTCACTTCCTATAGGCTAGGAACCCAAGAGATGGTTCTATGGGATTTTCTTACGTTCACTACATGATTAGCAAGCTAGTTGTGGGTTGCACTTAATTTCTAATACATTTACCAAGCCTGGTTAGTCATGGAAAGTCATGGAAAATGAGAGAACTACACTCCTTTGGCATAAATAGGATTGCCCTTTCCTTAAGAAAGGGCAAGCAGACAATACAGTAAATCGACTATCACATACTTCCACGTCTTTTCCAAGCTTCCAAGCATTCATCTTGTTACTCCTTGTTTCTGAAAAGTCAGTGAGGTGTTAACCTCTGACTTACCCCTGAGTTCCCAGACTCAACATTTGTTGCAACTTGCCTGAACCACTTCACTACATCACACACCTGATTGCTGCGTTGTGGAATAGTCTAAGCTACGACCCTTTGGCTCTGTTTTCTAAGACAGTGTGTTGTCTTAGTAAATTCATCCCTTCCTTGAGTGGCTAGATTCTCACATCTGGTGCACCCACCATTACACCGATCACCCATGATGCGCTAACTGCCACGGCCCCTTCCCTGCAGACCACCACAACTGCCCAGCAGCCCCCAAATGGAAGCATGGGAAGATCATTAAGCCCACCAAATGGGAGCTCGACCCATATGCCATCAAGGGGACAGATCCTTCCGGGACAGCCACACAACACCTGCCACAGCCCCAGAACTGCAACCTCAGTCCCAGGCCCTAGGCCTAGCAACCAGTGAGGTTGCGGTTCTGGGGCTGTGGCAAACACTGCCAAAATGAAAATGGGGCTCAGTTATCACAGCATATGAGACTGAAGCAGCCCCAAGCAGTGACAACAACATCACAGCCTCCCGCCGAAGCCTCAACCTGAACTCTCAGTGCAAAGCTTCAACCAGGCTGACAACCCGTTGAGTAGCCCTGTAGGGGACATGGACATCGACACAACCACCTCCACATGTTATAACACCATATACAAACACACCATGGCCACCGCCGCCACAAACAGCCTAGAAACCGCGACTTACTAGTCTGGTGGGCAAACACCGGCAAGAGCACCCCCTGCCACATCACAGCCCTCCATATCGCCTTCTTAGAAAAAATGGATGTGGTCTGCATACAGGGACCCTTCTCCTTCCCTGGCTCCAAAACACAGAACCATCCAGGCTACGACTGCTATGCACCAGTCGACAGCTGGGACAACACAGAAGCAGCACAGCATGAGAAAGAGCGGCCCCGCGTCATGACTTATGTACGAAAGGGGGCTGGCCTCACCCAACAACGCTGCCCTATGAGCAGCCGGGACATGCTCTGGTTAGACGTCAATGGCTATGCCATCCTCAACATCTACCGACAACCCCTCAACCCCCAGGTGCTCGACTACATCATGCACCTCACACTCCCACCAAACTGCCTAGTCAGAGGGGACTTTAATGCTGGCACGACATGTTTGAGCCAGGAATACAATCAGTCCACCAAGGCGCAGAGCTAGCACGCTGGGCAGGAGATAGCGGCATGGACTTTATTGGGATCCCAGGGTCCCTATGCAACGCGCTGGACACGTCCTTGACCTTACCTTCTCCAACATCCCTTTCGCCCAATCTACAGTCCGACTGGACATGCACAGCGGCTCTGACCATGAGACACAAGTCACAACCATTCCCGGCCGTGGTACAGTCCCACTATAGCAATACCACTACAGAATCCCTGACCCTTGACCTCCCCAAATTTGTGTAATGGTGGGTGCACCAGATGTGAGAATCTAGCCACCCAAGGAAGGGATGATTTTACTAAGACAACACACTGTCTTAGGAAACAGAGCCAAAGGGTCGTAGCTTAGACTATTCCACAACGCAGCAATCAGGTGTGTGATGTAGTGAAGTGGTTCAGACAAGTTGCAACAAATGTTGAGTCTGGGAACTCAGGGGTAAGTCAGAGGTTAACACCTCACTGACTTTTCAGAAACAAGGAGTAACAAGATAAATGCTTGGAAGCTTGTAAAAGACGTGGAAGTATGTGATAGTCAATTTACTGTATTGTCTGCTTGCCCTTTCTTAAGGAAAGGGCAATCCTATTTATGCCAAAGGAGTGTAGTTCTCTCATTTTCCATGACTTTCCATGACTAACCAGGCTTGGTAAATGTATTAGAAATCAAGTGCGACCCACAACTAGCTTGCTAATCATGTAGTGAACGTAAGAGAATCCCATAGAACCATCTCTTGGGTTCCTAGCCTATAGGAAGTGAAAAGGAGGTCCAAGGTCAGAGTACCTATAGATAAATTATGTCATAACTTAACCAATCTTGTGGGTAACTAAGGAGCGATGACGTGTAATGAATCATAGAGGGTTGTAGAAGCTTCTAGAGCTATCGTTCATGTTCCTAGGCCTCTAGTTGGTAGAGATATGCCATGTGGTAGTATTGGCCCACCCCCTTAAGGAGGAGATTTTCTTAATAACTTGTTCAATGAGTGTCCAAATGATATGCCGTGATATATGTAGCATAAACAGATGTAGTAGAAGAGTTTGCAGCAATCGTTGAGTAGTATTGCTTCTGTTGTTGGTGTGATAAGCCAAGATATGTATGTTGACTTGTAGGTTTGAGGAGGAGATTTCTAAGTTTGCTCTTGAGTTTGATAGCAAACTGAGTGCAACGAATGTCAGTATGACAATTCGCTGGGCTCATCCATAACGGTATCGCCACCGTCCAATACCACCGATACCTCATGCATCGACAGGTATGCCACCATCCTAGGGGATGTGTTTAGCACCTCTATTAAGACTACAGGCAAGCCGGACCACGGCAAAGGCAACCCAGCATCGTGGTGGTGCAATGCCAGGAGGCATACCAGCGACACCTCTTCGACAGGGACACACAGAGTCCACTCTGCCACGTCGGTCCGCACGTGTAACAATCATTGCTGAGCAAATTATGCCCCTCATAAAGTCCGTTTCATCAAAGTTGTAGAAATCGCAGTCTTGGATGCCATATTTTGCCTTCACATTCTCCACTAGTCGAAACCACGTGCCAATTAGCTCAGGATCTTCGCACAATGCCCTTTAGAAATCATAAAGCGATTAAAACCTGTCTTAAGTTCTGGTTGTCGTTTGACAAATTGATGAGCCTACAGCTGTCTGACATGTCTTCCTCCCTATGATGTTAGAATGAGATTTGCCATATCTTCCACACTAGCTATCCGAGGCGCAAACCCCCTCACATCTAAATCAAGTATATATCGAACAATGACTTCCTCTTCTGTTTTAGTCAAATTGTGATTTGCTAGCCGGCACTCATGGATAGTAGAATGACCATTCATTCTGTCACTAAGCATAGAACGTGGCACATTGTAAAGTTTTGCAGCAGTGCGAAGAGTAATTTTTTTTGGATGATTGAATAGCTTCCATAGCTAAAATGATTCGTGCTTCTTGAGTTTGTACTGACATCATCAAATGTGAAGATAACGCGTGTTGGAGTTGAAAGGTAGAAGGGTCATGATATGTCTGGGGTCATGATATGTCTGGGGTCATGATATGTCTGGGGTCATGATAAACCACGTTA